AGAGAAGCTTAAAATTCTTGTAACTGTATCCATTTGTAGAACATGGCCTCCTACACAGCTGGAGATACTCTGGAATTCAATTTGGCTAGGAGGAGCTAGATGATTGGTTCTTTTCTTCTTGTCTCTGAAATACTAATTTAGAAAACTATACCAGCTCTGCTGGAGTTTGTAGATCCTTTTAGCAGAAGAGTGGTTAAACTCAACTCAAGTCTATGATAACAGCTTAAGAAAAGAAAGGATTATAAGGACTTCCCTCACCACTCTGTCTAGTGTAGAACAGTGACAGCAGACCTGACACTCTCACCTCCACAGGAAGAAATTACTCTAGATGTGGTGAGGTTTAACTGTGCCCAGAAACAGGAGCTAAAGCAGAAAGAGAAGTCAGGGGCAGAGTTTAGGCTTTGTTTACATGAACCTGAAACTTCACAGCACTGAAAGATTATCTAAACTGAAAAAAGAATGAACCTTATGGTTTTGTTTTCTCCTATGCGCATCCTTTTGATGGTATCCTCTGATGGGCCTTGGGATTCAGACCTATGAGGTCAGGCAATGCCAAATACATGTTTGTTCCTAAGGGCAGGAGAGATCACACTGGTAAATGGCAACTGTCAACTGGTTTACTATATTGGGTTGTTTCTCATTTTCTATACTTAATCTTACAAAAATGTTTATTCTAACTTAGGGCATTATTTGTCTGGGATTAAACAGTGTATATTTAAGATAATCATGCTGGCTTTCTCTGAGTCTTTAAGCTTTCATGCTAACCTATACTATATTATAAATGTTAGGTCTTTTGAAGCACTTAACACTATACAGTTTATTTCTAAGCACTAATAGACAATGTGACTGTCAGCATGGTTTCCAGGATTCAATCTCTGAAGCCAACCCTGGTAAGGCTTGAACAAGAATCTTTTGCCATGGCATACCAGAGAGGGGGTGGAGGGTAGAGAAGATCCAAATTGCTCACAGGAAGTACTGTGAACACTGGAAAAGCAGAGGAAGTGGCTTATTTAGCTTGTCTTTTTCTGCAACAGTGTGGTGTAGCAGAAGAAACACTGAATTTGAGTACTAAGTTACTTATTACCTGAGCAGATTTAGGCAAGTCAACTAATTTCCTTAAACTTCAGCTTCCTAAGCTTCATCAGCAAAATGATAAAATAATATATGCTGTTATCAATTCCAGAGTATGGTTATGTAGCTCAAATTAGATCAAGTATAAGAAAATAGTCTGTAAACTCTAAAACCCTAAGTAAATGGTTTAAGCTGGAAAATGATATGATCAGATTTGTGTGTGGTATGTTTTATTTCTTTTTATATTTGCATCCTGGAAAGATTACTCATGCAGTGATGTGGAGAATGGTCTAGAGGGGACAACTCTGGAGTCAGGAATCCATACAGCTAAAATATTGTTCAGGGGAGAGCATGCTAATATGGTTTATGGAAGTAGCTAAGAAATGGAGGGCTGAATCTACAGTATGTGATGGTAGAAGAATGAAGGAAGGCTTGTTGTTTCTGCCTTGGTCAGATGGGTATGCCATTCACTGTTTGGAAGATGTTCATTAACAGGTGAAAGAATAACTGTGGTACATTCAGACAATGGAATATTATTTAGCAATAATAGGAAATGAACTATAAAGACACAGATGAAAATATATATATCACTAAGTGCAAGAAGCCAAATCTGAAACAGCTACATACTGTGTATTTCCAACCACATATTTTGGAAAAGGTAAAACTTATGGAGACAGCAAAGGGATAAGTGATTCTTGGGAAGTGTGATGAATAGGTGTGTAGCACAGAGAATTTTAGGGGCAGTTCAACTACTCTGAATGATATTACAATGATAGAAACATGTCATTGTGCATTTGTCAAAATTCATGAAATGTACAACACACACAGTGACCCCTAAGGTAAATGGTGATTTTGGGGTGATAATGCTGGGTCAATTCAGGCTCATGGCCTGTAACAGATTTACCACTCTAGTGGAGGCTATTGACAGGAAGGGAAGCTTGGGGACAGACCAAAGGGAACATGGAAACTCTGTACCTTCTGCTCAATTTTGCTGTGAATTTGCAACTGCTCAGAAGTATAAAATCTATTCTAAAAGGTAAGGAATGGTAAAGTACTAAATACTTCTGGGCAACCATTAAGATGAAACAAGATACACAGTTGGTTAATGACAAGGTCACTAGTTACCCCGACCACAGCAATGTACTGAGCCACTTTCTGCTTCATTCTATAGTAAAATCAGAAAGGGTTGGGACTACTTTCTTACTTCATTTTCTTTCCATCCTTTTCTGTTGTATCCACACTCTTTAGGCTTTTACATGCCACTCCACTACAACCACACTAGAAGACCAGCAATGATCTCCACATTTCTAAAAACAACATTCAGTTCTCAGTCTTCTTCCTTGACTTAGCAGCATTCCCCACAGCCCTCATGCCCTCTTCCATGGAACATTTTCTTCATCTGTTTAAGACAAAAGGCCTTCTGGCTTTCCTCACTAGCCATTCTTACAATCCCTCTTCACCTTCCTTATTTTTAAATATTGGTATGTTCCGGACCTTAATCCTTGGACCTCTTCCCTTCTCTTTAATTACTAAAAAATAATCTCATAGTATGAAATATACTTACCTCTACACTGATGATTCCCAAATATATTTGCCCAGAACTCTCTCCTAAACTCAACTAGTAGACAATATCTCAAATGTAGATGTCTAATGGGCCTCTGAAACTTCACAAGTCTTGGCTGAGTGTGGTGGCACATGTCTATAATCCTAACACTTGGGAAGCTGAGGGAGGAGGACTGCTGTGAGTTGGAGGCCAGCCTGGGCTACATAACAAGTTCAAGACCAGCCTCAACTACATAGTGAGACCTTGTCTCACAAAACAAAACAAAGCAAAAACAAGATCCAAACAAGCAAAAAAAACAACAAAAAATCTTCACATCTCCAAAACACCCCTCCAAAATATAAGTATTCTTTCCTAGTTATCCCATTTGAGTTAGGAGTAAATCCATCCTGATTGCTCAGGTCAAAGCCCCTGGAGTTACTTTTCTTTTTGAGAGGGGGGACTCACTATGTAGTGCAGGCTGACCTTTAAGTCATTATGTAGCCTAGGCTGTTTGAACTCATGGAAATCCTCCTGCCTCAGTCCCCCAAGTGCTTGTAGCACCACCACGCCAAGCTGAAGTTACCTTTAACTACTCTCTTTCTCTTGCTTCAAGTCTACAACTAAATGTTGTTGGAGCCAGACTACCTGGGTTTAAATTTCAGTTCAGCCACTTAGTGGCAACATAATCTTGGGGAAATTGTACCTTTCCTGGCTTCAGTATTACTACCTGTGAAACTGGGATGACAACAGTTATGCATCTCACAGGATTGTTATAATAAATAAGTTAATGTTTACAGGAAGCTTTGAACAGTGTCTGTCATGCCGTGTATAGTATCCTTTTAATCTCCCCACTTCCTACTATCTCAGCCTTTCCATTCCAGAGTCTGGAAACTAGCTATCCACAGCTCTCATCTGGATTACGCTAAATTTCTGACTAACTGCTCTCTTTCTATTTGCCTTTGTACTTTTTGATCCTGGCAACACGGCAGCCACAGTGATCTAAGAAAGTCACTGTTATGGGTATAGCACAGTGGAAGAACATTTGTTGAACATGTTCTAGGCTCTGAGTTTTCTCTCCAGCACTGGCTAAACAAACAAATAAACAAACTAAAAGGTCGCTGTAATTTTTTTCAACATTTTTGTGGGCTTGAAAATTTTCATGAAGAAATTTGGGAAAAAACAAAAGTCAGATTACATCACTCCTCTGTCAAAACCTTTGCATTTCACACAGAGTAAAAACTATAGTCTTTATACTGACTAGGTAGGTCCTAAAAACAATCCCCCTTCCACCTTCCTAACTTCATGTCAGTTCGCAATGCCATCCCCTCCTTTGGAGCACACAGGCCTCCTTCCTGTCCCTGGAACCCACAAGCATGTTCCCTCCTGGGGCTCCTGCCCCTTTGGGCTCCTCTGCAGACTGCACTGACCAAGCCTTCACATCCTCCAGTCTTCCCCACACATCACTGTCCTGGACACACCTTTTCCAGGGACTCCCACTTATCATCCTAATCCCCTCTCTATTTTATCGTCACAGAACTCATCACTATCTGATATACTAAGTCATCTATTCTAAGACACTTAAATCTAATCCATGTTTCACCTACTTATTCTAAAATGCAATTCCAATGTGCTTATATTTTGCTGCCAACACAGTGAACATATGTTCTTCCTTAAAATAAAAAGATGATTAAGCAAAACTACACTATTTTCTGTAATGTTTCTAAAATGCTCTCTTATATGCATATAAATGGTGACATAAACTATAGACTTTGGTTATCTGGTATCTTCTTTTGAGTGTTAAATTTTTCTAAGTGCTATTTACCCTACTGCCCACTCATTTAAAAATATTTTTTATTGAGTCTGGAGGATAACTATCATAGAGGTAGGTAACAAAATAGTAGCAAGACTAAGATGCAAAGCCTGCTTTATCTTTGGCATGTAAAACCACATTAGAATGGGACCCCACTAAGTGGAAATTGAATATTATAATGAAAAGGGGGTGGGAGAACACAGATAAAGCCATAATATTTACTTCATTGCTCCTATGTGATGGGCCAAATGACTCTTCTATACATTACTTAACTGAATCCTCATAGTAACAGCCTTCACAAAACTCTTAGCCAATTTATTGATGAGGAAACTAAAGCTCAGACAGATTTAGCAATGTTCAGAGCCCAATTTTAAGACAGGCAGAGTCACACTATGGCAAAGCCAGTATATTCTGCTCCGAATGGACCTTTCCTCTTGGAGGCACCAGAACAGCAAACTGGAGCTAAAGAAGGTTGTAAAATGGGTCATGTATACTCAATCACTGAATTCCTGGGATAACTTAGCATCCTAACTTTCCATGAACCTAGTTACAGCTGTGTGCTGGCAACTCCCTTACCTGTGGACATAAAAAATGGGATGCGGAACTTTCCACTCAGCACCCGGGCCCGCAGATTCTGCAGTGTGCTCCCATCAAATGGCAGGGCACCGCACACAAGCACATACAGGACAACTCCAAGACTCTGTATCCCAAACAAAGAGCACGCACAATTAATTGCATCAGAGGAAACAAAAGAGGCCCTTACAGTGTGTGTGTGTGAAGATGATGGTGAGCACACACAAGAGTATGGAACAAATTTTCTTCTTTTTTATGAAATTAATTAGGGTATTGTCAAGCCAAACATCTTCAGAATAATTAACATTCTTCTTTGCTTCCAGACATGAATTTGGGGTGACAACCCCAACTTCTCAGTATTCATCCTCTAAGGGCAGGGCAGGCAGCAAAAACAAAGAATCTCTGTTCATGGCAAGTACACAAATCCATGCTGGCCTTGAGTTCTTCTGCAGATGAAAAGGGCTGGTGTGAAACATGAGGCTCAGCCACAAGGTGAGCACTGGCGGGGTGGTTGCATAAAGGATTGGAACAGAAGGAACCTGTGACCAAGCTCTCCACCCACACAGGCCTCCAGAAGGAGGAAAGCACCATCTGGTGGCGGGAGGATGGAGTGTAAGTGAAGGGAGTCACTTACCCAGATGTCCACTTTGGGTCCATCATACTCCTTTCCTTCAAAGAGTTCTGGTGCAGCATAGGGAGGACTGCCACACCAGGTCTTCAGCAGCTGTCCAGGAGTGAAGAGGTTACTGAAGCCAAAATCTAGAAGGGAAAATGGACACAACTAATGTTAATCACAACCCAGCAAATACTAGTGTCTGGTCACTATAGCAAAGGTTCCAAATCATTAGGTTTGAGTATCAAATGAAAAAAGAGAATGTTTAAAAAGTGTGTAGCCACTATTTACTAGTAAATAGTGCAACAGAGATATAAATGAGCTGGAAGGCAAAAGATATCTGGATAACTAAAAGTAAACATGTTTGATTGTCAGCAAGACCAGTACTGTCCCCTTCACAGACAAAATGAGGTGAGTGATGAAATGAAATTGGATGACTCGTGTTAAGAACACATCAGAAGGGGCCGGGGATTTAGCTCAGTGGTGCCGCCACCTGCCTCGCAAGCTCAAGGTCCTGAGTTCAATCCCTGGTACAAAAAAACCCCCCAAAAAACAAAAAACAAAAACACATCAGAATCAGTAAAGATAACTGGTTTAAACCCTGCATAGACTGTTGCATTCACTATTCAAAACACACACACAGACACATGTCCCTTCACAAAACTAGACCCAGAATAGACAAAGTGACATTATCATGAAAGTGGCTTATTAAAAATGAAGCAATACAATTTAGTCATACACTGAACCAAGACCATTTACATTTTTAACTTCAACTCTTCTATTTTAAGAGGGAGAGGATGGGAGGTAGGAGGAGTGAGTGAAGAAGAGGAATACTAAGAAAATGAGCAAGGATGGCAGTCCAGAGGACGGAAATTCACCGACATATAAATACTGTACTTTTATTTATAAACAACCCCTATGACAGGCTAGAACTCCCTACTTCCACAGGAATACCTTCCTTCCTCAGGCATACCACTCCCTGCAACCAGCATCCCCAAAAGCTGGGCACCTATCTACTCCCTGAAACTCTATTCCCTTTCCTAGTTTTACTCCTGTTGACAAGCGTCTCCTTTTGCTTAACCTCTTTCTACAGAACCTGTTTCATCTTTTTTGTATAAGGTCTTACAGTGTTATCCAGGATATTCTTAAAATCTTCATCTCAAGTGATGCTCCCACCTCAGCCTCCCAAGTGCTGGACTACAGGCACCAGGCAGGCAGCACCACACCTGGCAACATAGAAGGTATTCTGATGTAAACATCTGATTTTGACTACCTCTCCTTGCTCTATATTTCCTCAAGGCTCTCTTCTGGTCCCAACAACTTCCAATATCACTGAGACCAGTCTTTAGTTCCTAGCAGCATAGTACCTACTTGGGGGGGGGGGGCGGGAACAAACTCATTATAACTCATTTTCTAAAATCAAATGTGTTCTTCCCATCCTCATGAATGGCATTATATCTCATTACTAAGAACACTGGAGTAATCTTTAATTCCTTTTGCCTTCTCATTTCCCATTTCAAGTTGGTAACAGCACTCTAACTGCTTCTCAGGAGATTAAGGCATAGAAAAGCAGGCTGGGGAAGTGGGCATAAACTGTTAATTACAAGATCCAGGACACAAACACAGAACAGTTCCCAAAGTCCTGCATGTGGACATCTTGCAAGCATTCCAGTAGGTATTCAATAGGATGGCCTAGACCTGACTTCAGCCTCATGTGTGGGATTGCAGCACCACCTCTCAGGACCCATATGTAGAAGTTCTTGCAGGTTTTCTTGAGATTTAGATAGCATGAATGGACACATCGGCGCCATCAAGGCTTTGCTATCATACCTTTCCAAAATAGCCCACACGGTTTCTCAGGCGCATGTACTTTTATCTTTGCTCTTACCCTCCTTTTCTATTTACTCAGCCCAAACTTGCTCTGCAGAGCCAGTTTCTCTCCCACTCTTCATTTTTGCTTTCTTGAATAAACCTTGCCACTGCTTCTTGCTCATTTCATTCAATTCTTTGTTTAAGGCAAGAAGAACCTGGAATCCAACTGCAAAAGGAGAGATGAGCTATCCAAAACCCAGTAATGTTTAGTGGGCAAGCCATATTTTTAGAAACAAGCTATTGGGTAATAACACTTCTACCCTGTGTCTTGAATTCATCTTCTCATTTCTAGCTCTATTCCCACCATCTTAGTTCACACTCTTCTCATCTCTGACCTAGACTGATGCTCTGTTTACTATGTCATTTCATTTCCCTCTAAGCTATCCATTCATAGCATAGTAAATATTACACAAATCATATCTTGTTACAACCTTACTTGAAAATATCTAGTGGCTCCGTCTGCTTGCAGAAGCTTTAATCTCTCAGAACTGTCATTTAAAGTCTTTCACAATACAGCCCCACTCTACCTTTCCAACTTATCCCTGGCTATTCTAACTTCAGTAGACTATTACATCCTGTGTTTATATGCCTTTCTTATGTTATTTCCTTTCTGTGCCATACCTTTTTCTTTATTTTCCACCTTAAAAATATCACTCATTTCCAAGGACCATTCAAGTACTACTCCCCCTATGAAGCTTTAACTGATTTCCAGCAGAAAATACCATTTCAATGGCTTCCTCTTCTGTTCTTCTACAGCCCTTTGTTTTTATCTCTACATTCTAATTACCAAAACTTACTTGCATTATACCGAAAGTTAATGAATGGAACAGACACAGTTTTACTTATCCTAGTCTCCATACCATGGTTTGAATACACAGTAGAAACTCAAGGAAAGGTCACAACATTAACCCGCAATAAAGTCACTGGGCCAATCCTCTCCCAGGCTCCTTCCTGGCTTCTGGCACCCTTTCATAGTGACAATGGCAGGTGGCCTGCTACTCGAACCTCTACCTCCCAAGCTTCTAAAATTAACTTACTGTTTACAAGGGGCATGAAAGGCTGGACCACATTAGAATCACTATAGTTATGAGAAATGGAATACTCTCATTCATCATTGAAAAATAAATGATGCTTCTGTGAAGCCTTCTGGGATTCCTTACAAGAAATGTCTCCTACCTCCTCTGCATTCCCTTATTACTTTGTATTTCCCCTTTACTAAGATATATATATTATACATATTCCACATTTAAGCAAAATTTGCTATTCTCTACTTACTATGATATTTTCCCCCCATTAAATGTAGCTTCCCTCAATTAATGAGCCTGGAGTATCCTAATTTTTTCTTTAATTTACCAAATCTAACAGGATGTGGCCCACACTCTCTTTTCAACATACATATTATTATAAATTTCTCTAATAGTAGCTTTATAAGTACTTTGCATTAATTTTCACTATTGCTATGCATCTTTTTTTTTTTTTTTTTTTTTTGAGACTGAGTCTCACTGCAGTTCAGGCTGGCCTTGAACTCAAGGTAATGCTCCTGCCTCCACCTCCCAAGTGCTGGGATTTCAGGCGTGCGCCACCATGCCAGGCTTGCATCTATCTTGTAAGGTAAAATTCTGGCTAGTTCACTGTTCATTCAACTATAACATTTAACATTTTCTGAAAATTTACATTATTCTTGCAGAAGAAATCCCAAATCATTAACATACACTAACAAAAGAATTCATTTGGAAAGTTCTGTTGTTCCCAATCAATATTTCAAGGACTGAATAACTGGGATGAGGATAGTATCTCTTCTTTATTCTTATCTGCCTGCCTTTGGAACATTTTGCTACACATTTTAAGAAAACTGGAAGAAAAAATAAAAGCAATTAAAATTTAAACTAGTCTATTTTGGGTTTTGTTGGTAGTTTAGGGAAGTACTAGGGGAATGCTGGGATATGTGGTAGGAAGAGAGGTGGGATGGGTTAGGTGAGTAATAGATATGAAACAGAATTACTAAGATTTTTGCTGTTTTTAGTTATCTATGTGTATAAACAACTGAAAAAAATGTAAAGATCACCCAACTTGGGAGAAAAAATTTTCATAACAAAAATTAAAGCAATTGGTAAAAGAGAATGAGGAAGAATTCTCATTGGCTTGCACTAGAAGTCCCAAAGATACATAAAGAAAGGCTTCAGAAGCCAAGTTTGATCTGTTTCCTGAAAATCCTATTTCCACTCAATGGCTTGTACAATGTATTTTGGCTTCGGAGCTACTCTTATTTGTAGTATCTTTCATTATTTATTTATTAAAATTTCTTACTCTTGGTGTCTCTTTTGCAAGTCTCTAAGTAAGTTCCTCTTTTCCTTCACTCATTTATTTAACATGGACCTATAGAACCCTTGCAAAGGGTCCAACAGCAATGTGCCTGTAAACAAACCAAGGGTGTAAAAGATGTGAGCTTAGAGAACAACTCGAGGTAGAACTTAGTTGAATAGCCAGAATTTGGAGAGGTAGGTGGAAAGGGATTTCTGAATGGTAGGGGGCTGGGGAAAACACAAAGCTAGATTGTTAAGTTCAAGGAACAATACAAAGACTGCTCTGGGTATGACACCAGGCATGAAGGGTGCATGGCAAGAATGTTCTGTAAGACTCCACGGTAGCATCAGGTCAGATGAGGTGTAAATTTAAATGACAGAATGAGGAACTTAAGGCTTCATTCTGTGGGCCACTGTTTGTCTTTCCTTCTTTTTCTCCCCCAAATTTATAATTTTTATTATGCTACAAATATCTTCCCCCTATAGTCTTACTGAGATAAGGAACTATAAGAAATATATTTACACATTCCATTAAATTCACCCATTTAAAGTATACTGTTAGTGGTTTTTAATATATTCAGAGTTGTGCGACCATCACCACAAGAATTTTGAAAAATATTACCCCAGAAGGAAACCCTATACCAATCAGCAGTCACTCCCCATTTCTCTCTACCCTCTTACCAGAGCCCCAGTTCCAGGCATTCACTCCTCTGCTTTCCATCTCTATGAACTTGTCTATTTTGGACATTTTACATAAGTGAAATTATGCAATGTATGATTTTTTAGAGTCAGGGTCTTGCTACGTAAATTCAGGCTGGCCTTGAATTTACTATGTAGCCCAGGCTAGCCTCAAACTTGGCAGCGATCCTCCTGGCTCAGCCTTCTGAGTGCTGGGATTACAGTGTGCACCACCACACCTGGCTCTGCAATATATGATCTTTTGTGACTGGCTTCTTTCACTTATTGTAATG